AACACAAAGGTGTCCAATGTCAAAAAGGAAACTTCTAAAAATTATTTCGTATTCCTTCATTTCATTTCCTTTTGCCTACAGTCTTGGGTTAATTTATTTTTGTTCTTACGAAGCGAAAGCTGAAATCATTCGATCCTGATTCAAAACAACATTATTATCATTATTATTATTATTATTATTATTCACATCATCAATTTTATTAATGTTTTAAGATATGAGAATGTTTACCAATTTGCCATTATCTAGATTATTACAGATGCGCGCGTTTTAGCAATGACAGCAATATCGTAAAAAGCGTTGCAAAATCTAAGGAAAAATAATTTAAAAACAGCATTTACTTTTCAGGGCATAATGGATCCAGTTGAAAACGCCATAAAATATTAATCAATATTTAAAACTGCCTGTCGGGCACATTTGCTAATATAAAATATGAAAAGCCGTTTCCAGAAAAATATATCTTCAAAGATATTGAAAGTTGACACGGCTTCATTCAAAGTAAATCAAATCACTAACAGATGGTCGGGTCATTTTGGTCGAAAAATATTCTCCCTTATTTCTTAAACCGTTCTCACTAACAAACATATTTTAATATTTTGGTTAAAGCATTAAAAAAAAATATTTTGGAAGTGTTTTTGTGTACTTGTTCGTTCCTGGCTTTTGAAATGGTAATCCTAATGTAACCTTCTGGCTACTAGAAAAAGAACCTCTGGTAAAATGCTTTAAGCCCTTTATATTAAGTCATGGTTACTTTCTCTCTGTAACCAAAAGGAATGTTTGCTTGATCTTAATGTAATCTGTTTGTGACTTATATTGTCGATTCCCTGGTAGTATTTTTTCTTCCCACTTTTTTAGTCGTTCTTGTATGTCATCGATTGGGCTCTGAAGAGAAGGTGCGGTAACCTTTTTACCTTTTTTGTTACATGTTGAATAATATTTTTAGATTCACCATTTCACCGTGAATAATGTTTTCTCTCTCATCCTTGCTCTTCATTTCACGTTATTTTAATACACTTAAATATATTAAGTGAATATATGCTTTTAAAATGTCCGTTCTTAAAGCTATAATAATATTCTACATGTTTTATGAATCCTAAATTTATGTTCTATCAAAATATTCTTAGTATTCTGCCAGTAAAAGAAAAAATACGACATATAGTATAAGGTTACCTATCTCTATCTATAAAAGGCAGGATGTGTGTGTGTGTGTGTGTGTGTGTGTGTAACGAATGCAATTTTCGACGGATTTGCACCAAAATTTACATGCACATGCTCCAAGTTAGCGGGAAGACCAAGACCGACTTTGCATTTCCCAACTCCCATCGATAGTGGAAATAATCGATTTTTTCATGCTTCTACGGCAGTTTTCATGTAGTTTGCGGCCATTTTCTACTGGCCAGAGTGAGAGCCGATAGCTGGCTGCCACGAATAGGCAGAAAGATTCTATTGGCCAGCGTGAGAGCCAACAGCTGACTGACACGAATGTTAACTAGCATGCTGGCATGCAAAAAAGTCGATAGCTGCATTCGTCACAAGTGGGAAAAATTTAAATCTGCATGGCACTTTACTCCAATTGGCTCATTCACTTGCTTAAACTCAACGTTGATTCTGATTCCGCAGAACTGGGTTGGGTGTGAAAAGGTATTTGTTGTTAACATTCTTTTTTCATTCGGTTTTTCCATTTATGAGTCCTTTTTTAAAGCTGATCGTTTTGTGTTCATTTTGTTTAGTTCTTTTTTCCTAACAGATTTAATGTTTAGTATAGAGCTTAGAAAAAATTCGCAGTGTGAGATAGGCAAGAAGTAAGGCATGTAGCAACATCAGAACGGTAAAGGGCACTCCTTTAAAGGCAAAGGAAGGGCAAAAATATTTTAAGTCAAGTGATATCGATTGCTGTATGTGTCGTACGATTTTTGAATCAAGCACGGGCAACGCCGGGCCATGACTGCTAGTACCGTCTAAAATTACAGCAAAATTTAAGTAATTTTGTAACAGCCTTGGCCATATTAGAATTTTCAGAAAGTAATTACGTATTTCAACCAATGAAGATAGAATCATGGTTGAATGGTAGATAACTGTGTCTAGAATTAGTTTATCATATCTTCCATCCTAAATGTTGTTGTTTATGATGCATTTCAGAGTTTGATTGAGAAAAACTTTTCAACGGCGTATTTAGAGTCCTTGATGAACTTTCCACAACATGCCACTATCCGCGGCACTCTTTTAAGCAGCAATTCCAACCTTTCATCTTTGTATCGCATTGTTATAGGTGATGAAAAATAGGTTTTGCATGTCAACTGAAAACAAAAAAAATTGGCTATTACAAAATGAAAAACACCAAAACCAGGCGTTCATTTACGGAAGTCCTTGTTTTGTGTCTGGTGGAATATAAAAGGTGCCATGAATTACGAGCTTGTGGAGAAGGGAAGGAATATCACTGAAAATAGAAATGAAAGCGACTTCGTCGATAAATTATGTGAAAAGTGACCTGCTTTGGTAAACAGGAAAGGGTGTTATTCTCCAGCAGCGACAATACAAGGGGTCACTCTGCAAAGAAAAAATAATATTGTTAGAGTGGAAGCTTCTCCCATATCCTTCATACTGAACGGATTTAGTACTTCCACATCTTTATTTGTTTCGATCACTAAGTGTCAGAACATTCAGAAACAAACTTTTTTTTTCGAAATAAAATCCAGATTTCTTTAAACTTAGAATCAAATTCCGTTGGGCTGTAATCGTTGAAAATGAATATGATTACGTTTTTGATCAATAATATTTGAACAAATTTAACTTACAATTTTCGTATCCTTTCAGGTAAAACGTAATTACTTTCCAAACATCCCACCATTTTCTTTATGAGGAATTTATTCATACTTGTTGGCTTCTTTCATTTTTTCTTTATTATTTAATTTCTTTCAGTTATTAATTCATTCATTCCTTCATTAGCGAACTGAGACCAATCCCAAAATTCTTGCAAAGAGATTTTGCAGACTGAGAAAGAAGTGAGGCAATTCAAGCAAAATCTTTGCAGAAGTCGGCAACACGACCGAGGATGATGCCTGAGATGTGAAACTTGGTGTTATTCGATCTCCAATCACTTCCTTTAATACATCTCCAATGTGAAAGCCGAAGTTAATAATGATGGCAATGACAAATTTAATAACAAGAAGAGATTGTGCTAATATTAAAATACATTCAGGTCAAGAGAGAAGTGCGAGAAAAGAAACTATTAGAATAGGACTTACGGTTACATCTAGCTAGTTCAATAGTAAAACGATAGCCTAATAGTTAGTCTAGAAATAGGCAAGTTCATGTGGTCGAGGTACCAAGGTGGAGAGATCGTTAGAAAAACTGCCATGAAAATATTTATAGAAAAAAACAAAGGCACGTCAAGGCGGGAAAGTGACGGAAGTCGAGATACCAGACGCTTCTTTGAATTTTGTCGAGAATCTCGTGTTATATTACGGGATAACCATACCAGATACGGTAGCAATATGCAATTCACGGACAAATGGTATATTTCTAAATATATATTCTAAAATTCTGACAAGAAAAAATATTTTGATTGATTGATTCGATTTCTATCAACCTTTTCTAGGTTATTTAAAACCAAAAAATATTTTTTTATATTCTAATTTTTTTTAGATAATAATGCTTTAGGGATACAGGTCTTCTTAATTAACCCATAGCTAGGGGGAGAAGAGGTGGATTCATACTTTTCACAAGAGTATTCGCGCGTAAGTGAATATAACGAACCCAATAGGAATTGGAATTCGCCTCTGCGAGGACAATTTTCTAGCACGACACAATGAACCAATTTTCTTAGCAGCTGACCTAGCAATTGATTCAATATATTCACTCCACATCATATCAATACTCACTTCCGGTTTCTTGCTTCCCTTCCACTTGTAATCTTTCAAAGATTTAAATACATCACTCGCCATCTTCTGTCTTTGTGAACCCTGTTCCTTTATTGTTCTTTCTCGCTCACTAAATTCTTCTTATTCCCTTCCACTCCCAATAACTCCATTACGACTTCGTGGCACTATTGACTTTAATATTCGTTAATATTGTATAGCATAAGGTACAAAACGACCAAGTAATAAAAGCAGAAGCTATTTTTTATATCGTTTTTTCTCTTTCTTTTAAGTTATGCGTGAAAACAAAAGATGTTTTTTAAAAAAAAAAAAAGAGAAAAAATATATCTTGTTTGAAAAGAAAGAAATTATTTCAGATATAAAGATGTCGATAGATTTTTATTTTTGCAGCCATCACACTATATTTCTAGGTGAATTTATTTCTCACTTGTTAATTTCGCACCATCCGTGTCGATAATTTCCGGTCAGTCATGTGACTTTTATGTGTTATGTGTTACTACACTTTCTTTTTTTTCCTTTCTTTTTTAGCTGATTTCTTTTTTATCATTGTGGCGCTCACCTTTTTATTAAATAAAAAGAGATTTCAAAGCAGTAAAATGATTTTGATCAATAAACTTGCACTCACGCTGAATAAAAAACACTTTGACGAACGTTAGATAAAAATTATCTGTGTACTCTCCCAGTTGTCATGAGAGGCACAGTTATCTGCCCTTGCTATGCGGTCTCTCTAGAGCACTTTTTTGATAAATATAAATATATTTTGTATTTCCAGGCTTCTCTAGATGTTAAAAGTAGTGAAGCAACGGTAATTTAAAGAGGATTACTAAATGTCACAAAAGAAAATGAACTCCAAGTTTAAAATTCAGATGCAAGGTTATCCCTAATGAATAAGAACGATTACTACTTACTTTCTTAGAATTGGCTTTGTTATACGTCCACCATTAAAAATCCAGTGAGACGAGTATGGGTAGACAGTCGTTTTTTGTTTAGAATCGATCAGAAGATTGACCATTATTCGAACAGATTACGGGCTAAAGCATTTTGCCAAAAGAATACAAGAATACTACGATACACTAACATTAAAACCAGTTTGGAAAATGAACCCTTTTTGAATACACATGCTGGTCAGATAGATAGATAGATAGATAGATAGATAGATAGATAGATAGATAGAAAAGAAACGAAAACAGCTAGAGAGAGATGAATAGGCTAAACAGATACGAGGACAGCACCACACATTGTTTACAACGTTCCGTAGCGGCCGACAGCAGCAGAGTGTTTTGGTGATACGGTCTTTTTCTCAATTCTTATATATAGCTACATATCCACCCATTCAGGATGCCACACAATATAGCAGAATATGCAGATTATTGTGCAAGAGGTAAGAAACAAAGGGTTTTATATTGCATGAAACAACAAAAATATTGTTTGGAAGCATTAATTATTGTGCAGTACATATACTATTATTTCTTGTTTGCACTACAGGTCCCCCTATAGATATACATTATTTTTTCGTTTTAGGCAGTTTCTTTTAGCCTCTGTATTGCGTGAAACAATAAAAACCTCGTTTGGAAGTATTAATGATTGATTTATTTCCTGCTTTAAGCTTTCTTCTATCTTTGATAACACAGAAATACATATATGTGTGTAATGAGCTGGGATGACTCTGTTTACATAGCGTATCTTAGGGATAATTCCTGTCATCCGGCATTTTGTATCGTCTGGCAGTAGCTTGGTCCTATAAGATGCCGGATTAATGGTCGAATTGTATATATATTTATATATATTCATGTATGTGTGCAGTAGCGTTTTTAATAATGTGAGCATTATTTGATTCGTGTTTATTGATTCTATTTAACCGTTTAATCAAGAGGAGTGAGGCGTGTTAACAAAATTAACAAAGTCGTCAGTCACTCGTTTTTACATTGTTTTCGACGAATTTGTGGATTAAACAAAGTATTAAGCTCCTATTTCCATCACTGATAACGTTACACTGATGAATAATCAAAATAATATTAGTGTAGCGGTTAACGACTAGGAATATAGAATCTGCGAATCAAGTTCAAATTCTGATTCAGGCAGTTTCTATTATTCCCCTGTTTATGTTCAAATGCAAAGTTATGTATTTCAATTCTATCTATCTTGGCCTGTTCTCATCTATCTGCCTATTTCTTTTGATATGTCTGTCTGACTGTCTATCTATCTATGTTCGCATCTATCTATAGCTATCATGATCTGTTCGCATCTATCTACCTATCTTCGCCTGTTCCCATCTATCTATCTATCTATCTTGGTCTGTTGGCACCTATCTATCTACCTATCTTGGTCTGTTCACATCAATCTTTATCTTGATCTGTGGGCATCTATTTAAATACCTATCTTGGTTTGTCCGCATCTATCTACATATCTTCGTCTGTTCACATCGATCTTTACCTATCTTGGCCGGTTGGCATTTATCTACATATCTTCGTCTGTTCACATCGATCTTTACCTATCTTGGCCGGTTGGCATCTATCTACATATCTTCGTCTGTTCACATCGATCTTTACCTATCTTGGCCGGTTGGCATCTATCTACATATCTTCGTCTGTTCACATCGATCTTTACCTATCTTGGCCGGTTGGCATCTATCTACATATCTTCGTCTGTTCACATCGATCTTTACCTATCTTGGCCGGTTGACATCTATCTACATATCTTCGTTTGTTCACATCTATCTTTGACTATCTTGGTCTGTTGACATCTATCTACCATCCTTGCTCTATTAACATCTATCTCCCTATATTGGTCTGTTCGCATCTATCTTTAACTCTCTTGGTCTGTGGGCATCTATCTACCTATCTTCGTCTGTCCCCCTCTATCTATCTATCTATCTTGATCTGTTGGCACCTATCTATCTACCTATCTTGGATGTTCGCATCTATCTATTTTCTCTGCTCGCATCTATTTTTACCTACATTGGTATGTTCGCATCTATACCTGTCCTCGTCTGTACCACGTCGTCTGTTCGCATTTATCTACCTATTTTAGTCTATTGGCATCTGTCTTCCTACCTATCTTTGTTGGCATTTGTCTATACCAATCTTGCTCTGATTGCATCTATCCACGTATCTTGGTATCGATGTTCGAAATACAGAGAGAGAGAGAGAGAAAGAGAAAGCGAGATAAATATTGAATGCGATGTTTTACGATATTTTGCCCATTTCTTAGAAATCCCGTCCTCAAAATACTTAATCACTTTACACCATCTAACAGCACCTTGCATGTTTGGGGTTTCGTTTAGTTTTGTTTTGTTTTGTTATGTTTTTAATTATTTTTCTTCCATTTTGAATCTTTTCTTTTTTTATTTTCTTTCATCATTTCACATGAAAGTCCAAACCACCAACATTAACGTATAAATAATTTTTAACGAACCCGGAAGTTGCTCGCTCGCCTTATGGCTTCACACGAAATTGTTTTATCATTTATTCTGCTTCGTTGGGAAGTTCGGTTTCATACTTAACTGTATTTTGTCTTCCTTTCATTCTCCTATCTCTCTCTCTCTCTCTCTCTCTCTCTATATATATATATATATATATATATATATATATATATATATATATATATATATATATATATCACAAACACACTCTTTCTCTCTCTGCAGCTCCGTCTCGCTTTCTAATCATATAATTAAAATAAACGGGGATAAATGTTTCATTTTATATTTAAATAAACAGCGATTAATGATCTTTATTGCAAAAAATATATTAAGACTACAAACTATATGAAAAGAAAAAAATATTAATTTTTATATAAAGTTAGGAATATTACTTTATATTAAACATAAAGGGAGACAACTGGGTTCTGTTGTTTTTTTTAATTTTTAAAAAAATTTATTTAAGAGACCATAAGAAAAACAAAAAGCATAAAAGAATATATAAAAAACATAAAAATGGAAAGTTCATAATTTATATATTATATATATATATACATATATATATATATATATATATATATATATATATATATATATATATATATATGCTCATTATAATCCAATTTATCTACCTATCTATCTATCTCAGTCTCTTAATTATAATTCTCTCTATGCTTTTACTCATCCCTCTCACGTCTTCGTCACTATCTAACATCGAAATGCGCTGACCTAGCTATTCACATATCGGTCAACCTCTCCATTTGATGAACTCTTTCCCCTCTCTTTCTCTCCAACCTCCATAGGAAATATGGTAGTTAACTTAGAGCGATGATTCGCATGCTAGCCTACTAGACCGGTACTACGGTAGATAAACCAAGGCTTGTTGTAATCATTTCACCCAAAGCAAGGCAATAAAGCCATTTAGACGTAAGCTGTCACTGACTTTTTAAGCAATATTAGATAATCGTTAAGGGAAGAGAACAAAAAAGAACAGGAAATAAGAAAACAGAAGATAACAATTGACATTGCATTTAAATTTTTGAAGATCAAACTTGACTGGAATGCAAGACACCGGAAGACATTTCCACGAGCGAGAAGTACGAAACTGTCAGAATAGAACTTCCGGTTACATCTAGCCATTTCAATTGTAAGATGATAAGAACTTGCTACTAAGTCAAGGTGCCAAAGACAACAGCAACAATTACCATAAAAATATTTACAGAAAAGACCACCTCATTCGTTAATCCTGTCTTCGCTCTGAGCTAGTAATAAGGGACATAGGGTTGTATTATGTTTTCCACATAAGTCTTTATAAGGTACATGTGCTCGTAGTCCTTCTGCAAATAAACGATTCCCCAAAATCAGCTTTGACGTTCATTTCTACTGTGGACTCTGTACGGTCAGCCGCTGCCACCTAGAACCTGCGTAGGAAACTTTGTCTGAACAATAGTTCAGATAAAGACTCCTACACATTTTGTCATTATTGAATCACCACTGACAAGTCTTATCCAACATCCGCGGCAATTCTCAGAAATCCAGCCACCTAAAAGCCTACAATCGCACCATTCTAAAACATCTCAAAAGATAACCAAAAGTAGCACTTGTGCATCTCCATAACATGACACTTAACTTTCGTCCGACTCTTTTCATCACACTGAATATTATTGTTGCATCCTTGACCGTCTAAAGCTCAGATACAGATGCCGTGTCCCTTCAGGATGTTGTCAATCATGGCTCGCCACAATTTCTTGTCCTTTGTAGCTCTTAATAAATTTTACGTTTTTTCCATCTCTCCTAAACCTTGTCCCTTGGTGAGTTATATGTTTTATTTTTCGCTGACCCTTTTTCCTGCGAGTATCAAATTTTTAAAACCCTATTTCCACATTATGTGTCATAGAAATCCCCCCCACCCCAATATCATAACTAAGGACCAATCAGCTTGCAGGTGAACTCTATGTGTTGATCAGATGTCTGTAACCCCCACTAACAGGTGGGTGGGTTCGGAAATTTCATTATCTTCTTTACGTGCCGTGTTCCCTAAGAACGTTGGCTATCATCGCTCTCCACAAATTCCTGTCTCTTGTTTTATTTATAAAAGGCAGGATGTGTGTGTGTGTGTGTGTGTGTGTGTGTGTGTGTGTGTGGCGAATGCACGGCCGCAATTTTCGACGGATTTGCACCAAAATTTACATGCACATGCTCCAAGTTAGCAGAAAGGTCAAGACTGACTTTGCATTTCCCAACTCCCATCGATAGTGGAAATAATCGATTTTTTCATGCTTCTACGGAAGTTTTCACGTAGTTTGCGGCCATTTTCTACTGGCCAGAGTGAGAGCCTATAGCTGGCTGCCACGAATAGGCAGGAAGATTCTATTGGCTAGCGTGTGAGCCAACAGCTGACTGACACGAATGTTAACTAACATGCTAGCATGCAAAAAAAATCGATAGCTGCATTCGTCACAAGTGGGAAAAATTTAAACCTGCATGGCACTTTACTCCAATTGGCTCATTCACTTGCTTAAACTCAACGTTGATTCTGATTCCGCAGAACTGTGTTGGGTGTGAAAAGGTATTTGTTGTTAACATTCTTTTTTTCATTCGTTTTTTCCAGTTACGAGTCCTTTTTTAAAGCTGATCGTTTTGTTTTCATTTTGTTTAGTTCTTTTTTCCTAACAGATTTAATGTTTAGTATAGAGCTTAGAAAAAATTCGCAGTGTGAGATAGGCAAGAAGTAAGGCATGTAGCAACATCGGTACGGCAAAGGGCACTCCTTTAAAAGCAAGGAAGGGCAAAAATATTTTAATTCAAGTAATAGCGATTGCTGTATGAATCGTACGAATTTTGAATCAAGTACGGGCAACGCCGAGCCATGCTGCTAGTAATAAATATTCTTTCTGTTATTTCTCCTAAACTCTGTTCCAACCTCAATTTACTCAAGCTCACTAAGTACGTCATGCATTGTTTTCCTCTGTCTCTCTTGTGTTCAATCTGTCCCGTGAGTATCAGATTCTCTAAACTTTTTGTTTTCATTTTCTGTGAAATTTCGTCGTTGTTCACATATTCTGTGCATGGTATCCTCAGCATCCTCTGGTAGAACCACATTTCTGTTGCTTCAATCCTCTTCATCTGTGTGGAGATTGTCCAGCATTCACTGCCATATACGAGGACTCATATTACGTAACCATTCCGTACTCTTTTCTTTGTTTCTAACAAAATTTTCCTGTTTCTTAATACTTTGCTTAGCTTTTGGAAGGCATCTGTCGCTATCCCAATGCACCTTCGGATTTCAGTGTCGCACGTTACGTCCTTTATATCTATAAACGCTCTATCTCTGTTATTAAGCTCTCTTCCCTAATAAGTATATTTTCCAGTTACGAGTCCTTTTTTCTAAAGCTGATCGTTTTGCAATGTTTTAAGATTATATAGACATTCCTTTACGAATTCTTCCAACATGAGTGGTGTCAAAAACTTCCATCCAAAACCACTTTTATCGTTTAAGTATAGGAAATATTAAACACGATAGATAGATAGATAGATAGATAGATAGATAGATATTCTCTGTTAATGTATTCATAAATGGGTGAACTTCAGTAGATATAACATTCTCCTGAAATTTGAAACATTTTTATTGGTAACAGTGTACAGCTGATGAATATTGTAGTTTTTCCTTGATTAGAAATTCTATATAAAATCGAATTATAATTTCAAATATTAGATTTTATTTACAATTCTAGATACATGGAGTGCTCTATCTTCCAGCCGACGAAGCTTTTATGAAAAATTAAAACTTGTTATAAAATTAGGTTGGAAAGGAAAATATGTGTTCCTGTTCACAAGAAGACTCACTTCCACAGTCCCTTCGTGGTTTTATGAATTAGAGAGATATTAGGAAAAAATATGTTACAATTTTTATGTAATTATATAACCACACTAATGTACGTGCGAGATATTATCTAACTGCAAAACGGAATCATAGTATAGTAGAATTGTGCACTTCGATGTGGGGTGATGTTTAGCAAGCTTGGCCCGCTAGATCAGTTGCGACTGAGTAGTGAGTTCGATCCTCACTGGGTGCCCCATATTTTCGGCCTTGTGCCACATCTAAGCTACGCTTGCAAAAAAGGCTACCTTGACGTGTTGTAATAGTTAGCAAGCTTGGCTCGTAGTAGGGAGTAGGGAGTAGTGAGTTGGATCCTCACGACTGAGTAGTGAGTTCGAGCTTTGTACCACACCTAATCTACACTTAGAAAATGCTTTTGGGTACTTCGACGTGGTGCAATGAATAGAAAGCTTGGCTCGCTAGATCATTTACGACTGAGCAGTGAATTCGATCCTCACTGGGTCCTCCATACTTTCGGCCTTGTGCCACATCTAAGCAACGCTTAGAAAAAAAAAGGGCACTTCGATGAGGTGTAATGGTTAAGTTTGTCTCGCTTGATCAATTATGACTAAGTAATGAATTCGATCTTCACTGAGTGCTCCTTACTTTTGACCTTGTGTCACATCTAAGCCACGCTTAGAAAATCACCATAGTCCGGTAGAATTATTGTCAAAAATAGAATTACCAAGAAAAAAATTAGATTTAATTTCCTCTATGAACAAAAACTTTCTTTACACTGGTTGATGATTAATAAAAGTGGTTTTGGATGGAAGTTTTTGATACCACTCATGTTGAAAGAATTTTCAGAATTCGTAAAGGAATGTCTATATAATCTTAAAACATTGCAAATTTAGAGGAAATTAATTTGCAAACATTTTAAAGAAGTTTGGTGAAATTTAAGTCACGACCAGGATTCGGGTCTGCAGAGACCAGTGTGTAACAGCAAGCTCAAGGGCAACGGGGTCATGGGATGAATCTTTGGCTCAAACCAATTGTTCCTAACAAATCATGTAGTAAAGATCGTGTTGAACAGTCACGCTTTCAGATTATCTCATATTAACGCGCTGGTCTCCCAGTACCCTATCCTTGGATCTACACTGTTTCTGATCTTCATCAATGATCTCTCGATGTCATCAGTTCCCAACTGGATATTTATTCCGATGACACTCCCGTCTTAGTAGCAAATCCGACTGACCTGACAAAGTAAATCTGGCAACTGCTTTTGAAAAGAACCTCCATTCAGGGATTAACTGGGGAACGAAATAGCTTGTAAATTTTAACGCCTCCGAAACAAAACTGCTTTCATTTAATAATCACACATCTACTTGGCCTCACGTTTTCCACTGACATGAATTAGGGCGACTTTATTGAATCAGTTGCTATGTCTGCTGCAAGGATTGGTTCATTGTGTCGTGCCAGAAAATCTTTCTCGTTCGAATCCATCTTGCATATTTATAAATCTACCATTTGTCCATGCATTGAATACCGTTGCTATATCTGATCTGGTGCTCCAGCTGTACATCAGACAGATTCTTGACAAAATCCAAAGTAGGATCTATAATGTAATAGATCCTAACCAGGCATCTCGACTTCTGCCATTTTCTCACCGACGTGACATGTCTTTTCCACAAATATTTTCATAGCAACTGCTTTTTCCCTGGTTCCCTTTTGTATGAATTTAAACTAGATTAGCAACAAGGTCTCACCATTTTACTGCTGACTAGCTAAATGCAACCGCTACTTCTACTATAAAAGTTTCTTTTATCGCACTTCCCACTTGTGGAGCTCCCTTCCGATTTCTTGCTTCCCTGATAACTTCAATCTTCAGAAAGTTAAATGCAACGCCAATCGCCATCTTCTGTCTTCTTGAACCGTTTTCCCACTCTTGGTTATTCTCAGTCTTCTTTTCTCTTTCACTCTATGTATCCTACCTGAGTTCTAGTGGCATTATCGCCTTGTTTAGGGGGAAGTGATTTTTAAAAAAAGGAAACTTGGCGGAACGCATCCCTCTACAGGTTGATAAACAAATCTAAAATCTATGCATCAATATTATTATTATTATTATTATAGAATGTAGGAGCAGCACACCAACAAATTTACGCTAGTTTACTACTATACGAAATCCAATATCCCCCCATCATGAAACTCAGTCTAACTGCCGTATACCAGGCACATGCATCACAGTCAAATATGGGCGACATGGTGGCAGGTTTTGATAAAAGGAGCGCATAACTTTGAAGGTGGGGCCTAGTTATAAATACTTTCAGGTCGGCTAACCCAGTCCCCTAAGCCGCTCTTCGATCGAAGGTGTTTTCAAGTATCTAGATGTGGCTTCCAAGTTGCCTTAGTTATCTCATCTTTCAAAGTTGAAAAAAAATAACGATCTTGACATTCGACAAGGAGGTTCCCCCACTACTTCCACTCATGGACAGATATGCATTGTGCGTCAGCTCTTAGGGACATGTCCAATTATTTAAGATAAGGCAAATGACAAACAAATTTCACCGTGCTGTTCAAAACTAGTTCATGTTTTGTAAGTGTGGCTAATTATATCGTCGAAAAACTAAAAGAACTATTAGAAACAGGAAGATTTCGTTAGATCTAAAAAAAAAAAAAAAAAAGAAAAAAGAAAAGAAAAAGTACTGAACTCCTATGTAATTTCAATCCTCCTATATAGCAATATGTACTGGGTAATTTCATTACAGACGAAGATGAAACTTGAGGCAACAGAAGGATGCTGAGAATTCCATGCATGGAACATTTAAGCAACGATGAACCTTTAAGGGAAATAGAACCATAACTTTCATCTAAAATCAGAAAGAGACAGTTGAAATATCTATGACGCATCATGAGGAAAGGTGACTTAGAGAACTTGACACTCAGATGCTAAATGCAAGAGGATCCAATGAAAATATCGAGAACCTACCTAACGAGTTTAAATGGGTGTCAGAATAGGGAATCTGAGGGATAGTAATGGCACAAATATTGCTTAGAGCTACATAGGATAAGAAGTTGTCATGAGCAATGAATTCACAATGTCCTGCTGAAACAGCGAACATGGAAGAAGATTTGTCTCTTCACATTAAGCCTAGAGGTAGGTCTTATTAAGACGTTAAAAAAACAATATAAAGCATAACCCAACCACACGAACTGTGAAAATTTCGAACAGTTAAAATCACAGAAAGATAGGATATGTAAAGTATTATATATGGTAATGCTAATATTAACCGCTTCCTTATAAGGAAACATTCAACGGAGCAGCCAGCGCTACCATCAATTGAAATTTATAAAATCTACTTCTCGTCGAGTTATCACCTGTGATAAAAATAAAAATGCTAAACCAAGTAAATTCTTATAGGCTCAAATATAAATTACCAACATTCACCTATTCCCGAAGCAAGTAAATATTTATAGACACAAATAAAACACAATTAATCCTTAACTATAAATATACTAGAGGAGGCACGGTGGAGTAGTAGGTGGAGGGGTCGGAGAGCCGAGTTCGAATTACATTCGAATCCATTACATTCCCTTACCCTTGGGAAAGGTATGACTCTTCTTCCTCCAGCTATGGATAGACTGGGTCGGCAAATGATCTAGGAGAAGGACAACTCTGAATTCAAAACCTCTGGAAGTTTGTATGGGGACCTCGTGGCACATAATGGCACCAGGTCTCTGTATTCAGAAAAAAAAAGTGTGGTTGGTTATGCGCAAAACCTTCACCAATATAATCAAATCATATGTGCTGGTGTCTGGCTGTCGGTTCCTATACGTCGAATACGAGAGTCCACCACATATATTTAAGTTTTTTTTTGTGTGTGTGTAACTGAAGGGCAGTGCGCAAAATTTTTACATGAGGCGCATAGAAGTCATGACCCCATTCTCTCCCTCTTCCCTACGAACTGCGATCAAAACGAAGAGTGATGGAAAGTATCCACGAAAAGAAACGGATACACAACTGCAAAGAAAGAATGAAAGTAAGAAGGAGACGGAGTGAAATGAATAGAAAGTGATAGAGAGAGAGGAGAAAAATGTCGCACAAACTCTTGACCGAGGTTTATATTTTATTTCAGCTTGAATTAAACTTTGCATAAAGTTACTTTTCTTCGAGGTGTCTCGGATTGTGGCATCACTATCGATGATATTCTAATTTCCCAGCAAATTTGACTTTTAAGAAAACCCAAGGTGTGTCACAAAAGCGTGCGTACAAAAACTATATAATAATAATAATAGTAATAATAATAATAATAATGAAATAGAAATCTCGAAAATGTGGCATATGGGAACATCAACAATCTCTGTTGTAGTTGGAGCCCTAGGACTGGTTGGAAAAGATTGCAGTAGACTAATTGAAGGGATTCCTGGAAGTCCATGCCTGAAGGTGATACAAAAAATTGTTCTGACAAGTACAGCCCACACTTTACGAAGGGCCTTATCTATGTAATTTTTTTTTTTTTTTTTGTCAGTGGAAAATGTCATGATGCCATTTCTAACCTTAGGTCTCTGGGCGGGACCCAGAAAGAAATGTGTACACGCCAGAAATCAAAGAAAATAAAAATAATAATAATAATAAAGAAGAGTTGTTTGGACATTAAATAACCCAACCGACGTTGGCAGGTCGTAGAATTAACCAGCCCAACGCAAAACTTTTTTATGTAATGATTAAATAATGATTCCATTTACATCTGTAGCAACTCGAGAAACGAACCTGTGTCTCCAGCATTGTAGCATCTTCTGAACACGCCTACGTCTGTCTGAAAAAATAACTCAGTACAAGACTCGTAGCCTATCAGATGGTAGAGAGTCGAGGAGTGAATGTACTCCTGATTCCTGCAGGATTACTCTTTAAAAAGTTTAGCGCTCATTTTCCCGCTCATGTCCATTCGTTTTGCTTACTTTATGGGCGTGAGATAACACGTGACCAGTAAAGAAAGCAACTCCCATATCAGCAAATAACCGGCAAATGAAATAAAATGAAGTAATTTTCAAAATTAATAATAATTATACATGCATGCTGTTTGATATTAAAATAAATCATTTAGCATCTAATGAAAAGCTTGTTCATTTTTACTGGTCATTCAGAATATGAATCTTATTTTGCTCTTTTTATTTAGCCTTGTATCAGACTTGAATTACTCTAGAAAATAAAACATCTTTTAAAGTTATATTCCTCACTTTTGGTTCGACCCACTATTAAAAGAACTGCTTCAAAAATTTACTTTGTCTATAGCAATAAATTATAGTGAAACTCTTTCATCTAATCAATCAGTCTAGGACTCGTAATATTTCCGACGCTCAAAGACTATAAACATCAGTACAAAGTTAGAACGGAATCCGACAGTTATATTTTTTATATTATTTGTGATATGAATCTTTTTGATAAAAGAAATTCTTTCTCTATTTAACTATATCCACCAGAGACGCATAGATAGATAGATAGATAGATAGATAGATAGATAGATAGATTATATCAAATCTCGCAAAAAAAACAAAAAAAAAACTGAATCAGTTTGTATGGAATGAAATGTGCCTCCGAGCGCACAAAAGCACAACTTTTGTTGGAGAAGAGTCAAAGACGTATCTGTGTGTGTTGTCTCACTTTCAATAAGAGAGCGACCCTGACTCACCAAAATTACCTGTACTCTGTATAGCTCTTAATAGAGTTTGTTTTTTTCGATCTCTCCTAATTCATATTCTACCAACCATTTACGATTTAATTGCTCGTTGTGTAGGTTAAGCATTCTTTTATTCTGTCACATTTGCCTTCAATAATTCCTGTAAGTGTCAAATTTTCCACGCCCTCTTTCCTCATTATGTGCCGTAGAAATTTCAACTCTCTTCCGGATGTTAAGTATAAGTGTCATTTTTTCTCCATTTTTTTTTCTAAAACTTCCTTCTTGCTCACATGTTCCGTCCATGGTATTCTCAGCATCCTTCTGTAGAACCAGATTTCTGCTTGCTTCAAGTCTCTTCTTCATCCGTGACGAGATTGCTGAGCATTCACTGCCATATAAGGGGATCGATATTACATAGCAGTGCAGTACTCTTCCCTTTATTTCCATCGAATTTTTTCTGTTTCTTAATACTTTGCTTATTTTTTAAATACATCCTTCGCTTATGCACATTCGGGTTTCGCTTTCGCAGTTTCTGTACTCTGTTAAAATATTTTCTGGATATTTAAATTTCGTGCTCATATATATATATATATATATATATATATATATATATATATATATATAGGTAACTACACTCGTATCGGAAAACCTTCGCTTTCTTGATCAAATCAATTTCGAAGGAAAAAAAGGTTTTTAAAAAAGAAACAGCTAGGAACATGAACGTCTGTCGAAAATAATCGTACAGCATACAGATCCAAAGCCCAAAGAAAAAAACGGATACGAGTAATCAACTAACTAAAAAAGTGCTCAATACAAAAGTAGAGCATAGATCGTCAGGGAAAGCTGGCTTTCCCTGACGATCCGCTTAGGTGAAACCTTGGTAGGTTTGTCTGGCTCTCTAGGTTTGACTATATATATATATATATATATATATATATATATATATATATATATATAACAAATTCGAAAACAATTGGCCGACCAGAATATTTCAGGAAGATCACGTAAGACAACCGGTCCTTGTAATAAAAGTGCTCAATATCAAGAGATAGAACATTAATAATAATAAATATAATTAAATGCCCACTTATTTTGTTTTACTCGGAGTTTCGCGAAGATATAATCTACTCATCAGGATATTTGAGTTCAAACTTTTAGAAATTGTTAGCTGGATAGAGAGTGTAATGAGACAAGATAAGTGAACGTTTAATTACAATTATTACCACACACACACACTCGTACGTACACACACACACACACACACACACACATATATATATATATATATATATATATATATATATATATATATATATATATATATATATATATATATATATATATATATATATATATAATATTTTAAGTCACAGTTGTTTGAGTGAAGAGATGTATCCATAACTTTTTCAAGACTATGCGGAACGAACTCAACTGGAATTCGAACTTAGCACGATGATTCATCTTTCGGAACCGCTAACAACTATACTTCCCGCACGCCCGCACGCACAGACACACACACGCATGCACACACACACATAGATAGATAGATAGATAGATAGATAGATAGATAGATAGATAGATAGATAGATAGATAGATAATATTTGTCGCTAACAATAAAAGAATTATATACATTACAGTTCAAAAGTTTGAGGAAACTCCTGGTAATTTTCTAAATTAGCCCTAAAAGTAGTTGTTTTGTAGGAGAAAATTACTATGCATGGTTAAAAAAAGTGAGACATGATTTTTTTCTTAGAAAATTTAATATGACAAAAAGAGAAAATGCATTTTATGCTTAAATTTTGCTCTCCGCAAAATACCCTTCTTTAGCCTTGATTACTGCAGCACAAAATTTTGGCATTCGTTGCAAAATTTCCTCAAAGTATGTTTGATCCCACTTATTTTACAATGGCTCTAAGGGCTCTTTTTCATTTTCTTCTAGATGGCTTCAAACATTTGAACTGTAGTAAATATATATATTACTCAAGCAAAACAGTGTAAGTGAACAACATGGAATGATATCGAGCCCATTAAACTTTCGTGGAATTCATTAATTGCGATGGAACCATTGGCGATATCTTTCCTTCTTCGATCTACATACGATCTTCTCCCAAATGAAACAAATCTGAAAATGTGGGGATACACAGATACAGATCTCTGTTTTTCGTGTCAAAAAGACCGAGGTACCTTGCGTCATGTCCTTTCTGCTTGTCCACATTCGCTACATATGTACACGTGGCGACACAACAAGGTATTAGAGGTGATAAGGGATCTAATAAGAACACAATGTGAGACAGCAAATCAACAGCTTGTGGCATCCAAGGAAACTAAGATTGAATTCCATAAGGAAGGGGAATGCCCTGCAAAGAAAAAACAAACAACCCCCAATATAAAGCTGCTGAGTGGTGCCAGTGATTGGAAGGTTTTAGTGGATCTAATTATATCCTTAAAATTTCCAATACACATCGCACAGACAGACAAGCGTCCCGACAATGTGTTGTGGTCCGACTCTAAAAAGACTGTCTTCCTAATAGAACTAACAGTCCCTTGGGAAGAGAACAGGGTGGAGGCGCACGAACTAAAGAAAAACCGGTACGAGTCACTGCGTGCCGAGTGTATGGAAAATGGTTGGACGTGTCACGTGATGCCTATCGAGATTGGGTGTCGTGGGTTCCTGGGACATTCGGTCATTTCATTCCTTTCAAAAATAGGCATCACTGGCCGTTGGTTGAAAAGCGTTTCGCATCGCCTTCAAAAAACTGTTCAACACGTGTCAAGTTGGATTTGGTCGAGATCAAAACAAGCAAATAAAATGCGCGCAACATCACGACCTAATATGCGCAAGTGAGATATTTGCGTGGTCGTCTATAACGACTTTTACGAGCGCGTCAATAACAGCAAACGCGTTCAAGAAACTTTCATTGCAGATAAATTTTACTTAAAGGAACAATTAGTTAGCTTATCTTCATACTCTGCCTGGTGGCAAATGCTGCTGGTGGCGCTAGGGGTGGCGGTCCCGCCATAGCCACCGAAACCGTGTATGTTAAAAAAAAAATATATATATATATATATATATATATATATATATATATATATATATATATATATATATATGCACAGAGAGAGAAAGAGAAAGAGATTTTTACAGTTTCGATAATAATTATTGTAATTTTCTTCCGAAATGAACTTCGGACAATTTCTGATAGAATGTCCTTCTTATCTGAGAAGGATTATTCGTAATTTCGAAAAAGTGGATCATTAAAATTAATCAACACAAAATGTATCTGTAATAATATTTACTTTATATATATATATATATATATATATATATATATATATATATATATATATATTTATATATGAACATCAAACTCTACTTGGAATCATCATATCATATATATATATATATATATATATATGAAAAAAAATATACTGAAAAACAAACAAAAATACTAATATGCGATTATGCTGTTTTAATGTTTAATGTCAACGTCGGACGTTTCGGTCTAATAGACCATCTTCAGGACATATTCATAAAACATAATTAACATAGACCATATACAATTCAACATGAAAAAGACGATGGACATAAAAGCAATACCAATCCAAACAGATAACTGAAATCTTTTATAAGATCAGCGTTTTGTTTAAATACGATCACGTCGTCGTCACGTGGGCGATGTTGTGAAAACGTATTCCTAAAATTTGAGTATTTTGAATGAAAAACGAAAAGAATTTTATTTTGATCTAAAACTTATATGTACGTTTGTCGGCATAGAAAAAGGGGAAATATTAAAGAAGCCAGGTCTAGAAAAGGGGAAATATTAAAGAAGCCAGGTCTCGTGTTCACCGTGCGTGAGATGGATATTATGCCTGCTTCATAAATCCGCCTAAGATTTTTATTATGAAAATATTTTAAAATCTTCACAGAATCAAAATCGAAATTATGATCAGCTTTAGTTGTGTGTACAACTAAAGCATTGTTTAAATTTCCGAGGCGAATATCTCGTTTATGTTCGAAAACACGAGATTTTACGGACCTACATGTTTCACCCACATGTTTTAAGTCACAGTTGTTACATGAGATTTGGTAGATGCAAGCCTCGGATGTAATATGTTGTTTGCTGGTGTTATTTAATAAACTACGGATAGTTCTAGTAGGTAATATTGTAGTTTTGATTTTTAACGCATTTAAATTATTGGAGATACGTTCGGTCAAATGGTTATTTGGTAGAAAGATGCGACCCTTTTCAGCGTTCTTTCGCTTCCATGGGATATGGCAGCAAAAGACTAATCAAGGCGATTTTTTTAACACCCCGGCACCAGACATAATATATCACCTGGGCTCGTAACTTCGCTAACTGGACATCGTAGGAATGGCAACTTATGACGTGGAGCGATGAGTCACGATTCTAGTTGAATGGATAGTAAGGTACGCGTTTGACGCAGATTTTGCCAACAAAGCACTGGTGCATGGTTGGTTCTATAATGGTGCGAAGCTATAATGGTGTGGACATGCTAGACAGGTGCACACACATCCTGCACCTACTCATGCCAAGGAGCTGTAGACTGCTATCGACGCTGTAAAGCTCATCTTGTCCCTAGTGTTCTTCCTACCATTTTGTGAAAGCGATTTCACGTAGAATTTCTAAGCTTCACCAGGCTAGATGGGGTTCTGTACTATAGAAGATACATATTCCATGGCTTTTGGCACCTCAATATATGCATAATTACAGCTACAATCAATGGGTCTCAATATGTTCGGCATAAATATACACAGATTTTATTTCCTCGATCGACATATAAAGAGAAAGGAACGAGAACTGGTCAACTTTTTTCTATTTTTCTCTGCCCCTTTTCGAACTGCTGTTTATGGGGATTATAATGGTGCGACATAAATACATTCCACATAAGACATTAGTGACAATGGTGTCTTTATCTAGCTAATGTCTTACCGAGAGGTATATCTGTGAGGTGTATTTTCTTTATTTTCTCCATGTTGTTTTTTTTCTCTTAAGAACTGTATCGGTTTTTTTTTTTAACTTTGATCAAATTTTGTAACCCAAGAAAACTTTTAATCGATGTAAATTTTATTTTAATGTATAATTATTTGAAACTTGTCTCCATATTATTATTATTATTATTATCATCCTCCTCCTTCTCCTCCTTCTCTTCCTCCTCCTCCATCTCCTTCTCCTCCTCCTCTTCCTCCTCCTTCTACTATATGCCGTTTTCCTTCAGGACGTAGAGCGTCCTGGCTATGACAATAAACTTCGTCCGACAGGCCTCTGATCGAAAGGTTTTTAGGAGCGTGTAACCACGTCTTAATTGGTGCTGTTCCCAGGTACCCCCTGACCCGGGGTGGTAGTACTTGTTAGGGTCCCAGCTTTTGGCAAATAGTCAACCCCCCAAACTGGACTCAAAACACTATGAAAGTATAAAAATACGAGCAATAATTTTTTGTAAAAGAAATTACTACCAAGACAAATAAGTTGCGGCGTTAAATGACCCATAAGTAGTTGATACGTCGCTAAACAAACAAACAAATACACATCAGGACGTGGCTCTCTACAACTTCCTATCCTCTTTAGCTCTTCGCAATATTTGTCTTTTTACTATCCTTTGCACACTCTGTTCTGCCATCTATGTACACAAGCTCGCTGGGCAGGTTACTCGCTATTCCCCATGTCCCTCTTGCTTTCAATATGACCTGTGAGTGTAGCATTTTCCCAGCCGTCTTTCCTCATTATGTCTCCCTGAAATTTCAAGCGTTTATCTCAGTATGTTTTGTTTAAACTCATGTTTAGTTTTTGTTTAGGGATCAGATCCGTTACTTTCACTGATATGATTAGTCGTATTGAAGAACCACAAACAAATCGATATAGATTTTAACAAACGTTTCAATTAAGGATTAATCACTACCACTTCAGAAAGACACAAAGAAACACCATTACCACGAAGACACAACAACAAAGAAATTTATATCACTGCCTCGAACAAAGGAGGTAAGATTGCCATCATGAACAAGAATACCTACAGCGGAAAAAATTGAACTGTTAGTCTATCATACAAACGTTTATGAGAAAATCGATGATCGCAAAATAATTTCTGAAAGACAAAAATCCAATATCGTTATTAGAAAGTTATTTTTTCTTATATAATGAATTAAGCTTTTGGTGTCGGTCAGTGCGAATTCAAGTCGTGGCTCATTCAATAGCTCAAGTGTAGGCATTGAAAAGAAAGGATTCTAGTGGAATACTAAAGAAGGTGTCTATAGAAAGTCACGATTGATGCAAAACACTGCATTGTGACATCTTCTGGGAATGCTGAAGATTAGCGCGAAAGATGTCAGAACCAATGAATATAATGAAAACTCAAGAAAAAGGCTGGGGTTCTTTCTTTAAAAAAAGACGTGGATGTTTGAGGCCAAGTGTCCAAAAATTTTAGCCATTCAATTCAGAATTTCTAATAAACATTTTAGAGGAAAGGAAAGCTTCCACACTATTTTAAAATATTTGTCAGATATATTAACCCATATCCTGCTGGCCTCAATTAGAACTGACGTCTTCTCGCTCTTTTTTTTTCTCATATTAAATTATAAATATAATTT